GGCGAAAGTGTGCATCCCAAGCTCTCAACAGCATCGCGAAAGCATCAGCCTAGTCGCATAGGTGTTGGAAATAATGCCTCTTTTGGCCTGGAGCTAGATCTCCTAGAATCCTATCCAGTGGACGACCAATGATCTCTCGCAGGGTCGGATGTGGGAGCTTGATGCATCTTGATACCTGCGCCGTAGGCCGACATCGCCAGACGTCAGCCCTCGTATCTATTCACACCAACATCTTCAAGAGATCCATAGGCCATGCAAGCTTCGTTGAGACGTCCGTGCGAAGAGGCATCCTTCGTGTCAGCAGAAGTAGGCTAACGAAACTTTGTGAACAGCTAGGCATACCTTGCCCAGGAAATGAGCCTCACGACAAAGTATAAATATTGCAGCATCTACCCATCATCTAGTCTCCATCATAACAGTATCATTAACACCTTCCACTACACTTCACTCAACCAAACCAACTCCACACACCCTTCAAAATGCAGTTCACCACCACCATCGCCCTCCTCATCGCTGCCGTCAGCATCAACGCCGCCCCAACGGAGATGAGCAAGCGCCTCGACACAATCCCTCTCAAGTTCTACTCTGGCCCAGGCTGCAACAGCGGCATCGCCGTGACGACCGCCTACATCCCCGCCGATGGCTCCTGCTTCCCTACCTCGCCCATCTTTAGCGGAAACACAGACTCCGCGTTGATCCTCCCTACCGACTTGCCGGCGCTGCCTGCTGGTTGCACTCGTGAGTTACCTGAAATGAAGTAATTGGTTTCGGGATGATGAGAACTAATTTGATCGTGCTAGTCGTTGCATACTCTGACAACACTTGCTCGAGCGTCAACAGCATCGTCTACGACGTGACTGGTCGTTGCGGTACTTTCGGTCCTAACAAGCCCATCTTCTCCGCGAGGGCTGTTGGTACTTGCCAGTAAATTCTTGCCCAAACTTGAGGATGATGTGGCAAGCGTTTCTGCGAGAATGGTTTAGTGCTCTCTGGTCGATGTTCGGAATTCTTGAGTCAGCGGCGCCGGGTCCAACACTCCAGTGCCCGCTGACGAGAGAAAGAGGTGATGTGGTGTAACACGGTTGGCGATGAAATCTCCTCGTCGCTCTTTAGCTAGATTCTTCGTATGGATGGGGACGCCCCCTCTTACTATTACACTTTTGTCATAACCGACGTTGCCCAACCTTATGTACAATCGTGTGAATCTCTTTCCTATTACCAAACATTACAAAAGCTGTACAATCTATAACATGTCTAGTCCTGCTTCCTCGAACCCCTCTTAACAAGCGTCTCATCCGAACTCGCAGCATCCTTCGTGCTAACGACATGGAACGAGAAGTCCAACTCGCCCACCAGTCCCTTGACGGCCTTCAACAACCGTTCAATATCCATGTGTATGCATCTCGTACTTATGCTCATGACCGCGAACGCCGCGTATCCTGGCTCGGCGATGTGTCTCAAGCTCAAGATCTCTGGGTCTACCATTTCTAGTTTCCGGCTGAGCTGCCCACCTGGTGGGGCGTGTAGATAAGGAGGCAAGGGCTGTGCGTTTGTGACGCTGGAAGAGAGCATTGCGAGTAATGAGGTAATCTCATGCGAAGTTACTTTTGCGGAGAGGATGACGCGGCGGAAGTCGTTGAACCATTGCGCGGAGTGGTGGTCGGGGAAGGCGGCTTCTTCTGTTTCAGGGGATGTGGGGTCGGCGGATTGGTGGTTAAGGGAGGGGTGGGTGAAGGCTTGGGAGGCGTAGCCTAGGAGGGCCGTGTAGTTTACGATGCTGATGTGTGTTGTTAGTCACGTTCAATCTATGACATCGCTGCATGTTAGGGCTGATACGTACTTCTCGACATAACCAATAATCTTCTCGTACTCTTCTTTGGGAAACTTGCCTCCAAGTGGGAACTCCCACTTGACGAATCCGGCATGCATCTTCAGCCCTTGCAGGGTGAGCATCTGTTTGGCGAAGACCTTATTCCGAGCCTTGACGAGCTGGTAGCCTGGACTCTCTTTGTCAGTCTCTTCGTCGCCGCCTAGCTCACCGCGGATGCGGCCCATGACCTGTTCGTGCATGATGCTGTACATGTTTGCGGAAAGGTATAGCGCGCCACCAAGTTTCTGTCGGAGCGCAGAGTGCTCGGTGATGGGGTAAGGAAAGATAGTCCAGAAGAAGGCGACAGCTAGACCACCCACTACGGTGGCAAGACGGTAGGGGCCGAGTGTATAGATCGGGTATGCAGGCTGACCTGTCGTTGCTGTCGCGGCTTGTTCTCCAATCTTGCGAACTTGTAGTTCATAACCAACAATCATAGTAGCAGTGACCACACTGATCATTCCAACGATGACGAGGTCCATGCGTTTTAACGGGATGTAGAAGCCGATTGCGACGAAGAACCAAAGGAAAACCAGGATACCCGCAGTTTGTTGCCCAGGAATGTACCAAATGAGCCAGGCTACGATCATTGCGACGGCTGTACCTGCGATTCTGAGTATGAACTGGAAAATTGATTGACCAGCTGTCGGAGTCATAGAGATGGCCACCATGATCAAAGCCCAGACTAAGCGTTGTTCAACGAAAAACTGTTGCGTTGGACGGAGGAAAGCGACGACGGCTATACTCATCGTCGCACACGCAGCACGGAAACCAAAAGCCGACTCATCACTCCGCAGGAAACGTGAGATGCCACGTACACCATTGCCAAACTTCTGCCATGCGTTTGTGGGTGGCAGATGCTCGGGATCTTTCTTCTCCTGGTAGGCTTCGCCCATGTAAACAGTGGTGTTGCTCCTGTCGAAACCCGCAACTGTCGTCTCGTCGTCGGAGGTGGAGTCCTGGCTCGCGAAGATGCTCTTCGCCCATTTCTTGAAACGCCGTCCACCAGGCCAGATAAACTTGCTTTTCAAAGTCGCTTGATCGCGCTCATCTGCGAATTTGACGAATTCGATCACGGACCGACTTATGGAGTTGAGTAGGAACATGACGTAGAGTACCATGAAGAGCTGTCGTTGATCCCGGTTTCGTGTGGTGATGCTGGGCATGAGCTTCAGGGTTTCTTCGTCAAGTGCTGACGGAGACGAGAAGTAATCGTCGCGAAGCTTGATGCCCTTGGTTTCGACCCAATGGCGCAAAGTAGGTTCCTTCCTGCTGAAGAAAGCGTCGGCTTGCTTCTGCATGTACTCTGCGAAGCCCGGTTCTCCTGGTTTGATAGCGTCACCCTTCGCCTCAGCGTCGTCCTGGTTCTGGCCCTTCTTCTTTTTCGGCGGCTTGGCCAGCTGCAACTTAAACATAACGTGTGTAAGTCCATCATCGAGAGCCTGGAAGATGTTGTTGAACGGCTCATGAACAAATTGAAACATGTTGTTCCATTCCTGAACGGTTTGCCTTCTGATCTCCTCGTCATGTTCGTCTTCTTGTCCATCCCAGTGGTTGATTTCAGCCGCCCGCTCAAAAAGATCCATAACCGAGCCGAGACCCAAGATTGGCAGCATGATCGCCCTCAGGTTCTTGAACATGCCCTCGAGGTCGTCTGGCGTTAATTTTCCATATGCGATCTCGCGCTTTGCAAACGGTAAGTCCGCAGTAAGCTTGCCGTGCAACGCCTGCAGTGAACCAGTCATCTTCTTGATAGCCGCTACTTCCGGCCTGGGTTTCGCCTTCTTCTTCCCATCTCCGTCCTCTGGCACGTACTTCTCGCCGAACATGTCGCTTGTTTCCAGGCTGTGGATGTAGTTCTTGTGCGCGCCCAGAGTCCCTCGCAACAAGCCAATGTATCCTGCTGCTTCCTTCATCACCACCTTGCGCGATGTAACAGGGAAGATGAATAGGGCCACTCCGGTTGCGATGGCGAAACCAGTCAAGAATGCCACTAGCAGTCTTCTGATGAAGGACTCGCATTGCGGTACTGTTTGAAACAAGAAGCCATTAGTCGCTGCAACATTGACCTGAATTGCGTAAATGATTGCCGGAAAAGCCAGTTGGGGAAACTTCGCCTTCATAGCATTGATAACATAGATTTGGAAGAAAAGCCACACTCCAAGGACTGCCGACTGCGAAGAGTTGTAACGTTGTGGTGGTGCTCCAGGTACAGTCGTATGTTGTCGGGCTTTGACTCCCGACCAAACCATGAGCATAGCGAGAGCCGAACCAACACACGTCGCCAATATGTTCATCGTCATCGTCTGAATGAACTTTGCGCGCGGCATGATGCAGAACCCTAGGATACTGATAATAGCAGTCAGGTAGCCCAACGTAGTGAAGTATTGCGCAACGGGCGTCGCCTGATACATCGCAAGGCAAATTGTCGGAGGCAGTGCCGCCTTGCCCATCATCATGAGCGTGCCCGGATCGAGACCGAGTTTAGTCCACGCTGCTTTGAGTTTTGACGGCTTCTTCTCTTTCTTCTCTCCATCTGCTCTGTCCTCCGTGAGTGTCGCATCTTGGTGGTAATCGTTCGACTGCCCCTGCTCGCCGCGTGGTGATTCCCCTGCTGTGTTCGTGGAATCCACCTCTTCCTTATCCGCAACATTCCGGCCCGTCGCGGTAGACGCCATTGTGGCGCTGTGAGTTCAATCGACTACCCAGGTAGATGAGCAGGTAGCGAGAGATGAATCGAGTAACAGTTAAGACATTATTGAGAGTCCTTCAGGGCTAGATCGCCCAACGAATCCCCATAGGGGCCACCGATCCTCCGCACCCGACAGTCGCGCCGCGTTCGGTATTTTTCACACGCGCGGTCGACGTCATGGTCCGTGATGTGAGTGGCCAAGCAGCGCGCTAAGACAGATCTAAAGTTTAGTCACAGGGACATCCCAGCCATTCGGGCCTTCGGTCGGGTCATCATCCGCATGAATTGCAATGTCGCAATGTCGGGATGCGGCATGGGCACACGAAGGTTTATCAGACTCGTCCGGTCTATCTGTATTGGTAACGCCGAAAAGAAGATGCTTGGTAGTTCGTACGATCTGTGGTATATGCTGCTATATACAAACTTCAAAAGCAATGCCTATACAACAATGCGCTCGAAGCTGTACTTCGGCACGCGTTTACTGATCAGCATACCCATCTCTCTCTTGCTTCGCGGCTCCTTCTTTCCTCCCTTGCCGCTCTTCATCTTCTCCACGCCCTGGTCTGCCTTGGCTCCAAGCGGCAGCATAGGCAAATCTTCCTCTCCACTAAGCTTGCTGGCGACACCGAATGGTTTGCCTTGTACCTCCAAAGTCTTGTTAGAAGGCTTCTTCGAGGTCGGTACGGTGGAAGCGTAGCGTAGGAACTCTGAAAGTAGACCACGTATGAAATGAGCTTCGAAGAAACCACTGAGTGCTACAGACGCGTCCCGGTTTAATGATTTGAGCATGTCTTCCCCGGTCTCTGAGGCGGAGATTGTACCGACAGAAGCCAACCAAGCTCCTGCGCCAATGGCGTCGAGAGTGGTAGAGAGAAGAGAAGCAATGATGGCGACTGCATGGTCGTCAGGGTCATCGCCTGAGTTCTCAGCATGAGGCGACTCTGTCTCTACAAAGCCCAGTGGCGAAGACCACCCACCGTTCTTCAACTCCAGATGCAGAAGGCGAATCAGCGATTCGAGGTCTCGCCGCGGCAACATTGAGCGAAGAGTTGCACTGACTATTGGTGCTGAGAAGGTATGGAGCCGGATCAGAGCGGGTCGCAGTGTGTGGCTGCGCGTCAACAGACCATGGTCAAGCACCGACAAGGCATGATCGATTTCGTGCGAGGCTGCTTCGAGCTCGGTAGCAAAGTCCAGGTCCATGTCATCGTCTGATGGATTGGTGCCATTCGTCAAAAGCTTAGTTGCTTCGTTGTCCTTTGGCTCGTCATCTATACTTTGGATGAGAAGCTTGATAGCTTGAACGACCTCGCCCACTGGGAGGAACTGAGTGTGATTGAGTACCGCCGAGAGGATGTGCAGATCGGGGTCATATTCGACCAAAGCCTTGACGATATCCCCATCCACGATAGCGGAAGCTGACTGCATTTGCTCGTTTGTTCCATCAAAAAGGGATCTGCGGATGGACTCCTTGGTAAGATGTCCAATCTGTAGGAGCCACTGGAAAACGTTGGGCGGGAAGAAGCCGACTCTCAACTGTCCTTGTGATTCCTCTTCGGTGGCATCTACCCAGTAGAAAATCTTACTCAATGCATATAGTGCATACTGACGGTATTGCTGTCGTTGGTGTCCTGGAATGGTTTTGGGGATTGTCCATCGGGGCAGGTCATCCTTGGAAGTTTCATCGTCGAGTTTGTCAACGACCATGGCATCCTCGTCAGGAAGACTTGGGCCCCCTCCGTTCGTCAAGGGTCCGCCATTTACCTCATTCTCATGCTTCTGAGCTGCATCGGCAGACTCAACGTCGATACCCAGGTCCGTCGCAAAGGATCGCTCGAATTTTGCAATCTTACCCCTTGTGGCGTACTTGTTGAGCTTCCATTTTCGCTCCTGCCATTTCTGAGCGTCGCCTGTGCTGAGAGTCGATTCTGGTGCGATCCCCTTACCGAGAGCGTCGATGAGAAGAGTACCTTCGGTCTTGGTCCGTTTGCGCGATCCTGCTCCACCAAACTGCATACCAAATATCTCGTCCTCTCGAGCAGCAACAATCAGTCCGGTGTCAGCGTAGTACGCCACGAGGCTGCATGGTGAAACCTTCTGCTCATCGCTCTCGGGCTGCGTATGCTTCCTCTTCTTCGATGGGCTAAGAGACTCTGATGTGGACGGACTAGCGCTCATGGATTGCACAGCTTGCAAAGAGTTGTACTTGACATCGAACACTCGGCATGTGTTTTGTGACGTGGTGAAGATGACATCTTGGGAAGTTCTGAGGAAAGAGTCGACAGCCGACCCGGGAAGCGCAAATTCCGACTGGAGCTTTGGTACGGTTCCAGACAAGTCGTAAGATAGCAAGTTCCCATTGGCGAAGATGTGAAGGGCACCACTGGAAGGGTATAGAGCGATCTGAGATGTAGGAACCCGTGCGGCTGAGGCCCTTGGTTGCGGTAGGTCCAACGAAACTAGGTGTTTCAGCGGCGAGAGCTGGTTCGTAGTAAGATCGACGGATCTTGGCTGTACTTGAACAAGGGTGAGTGTCCTCGTTTTGTCTGCTTTACGTTCGACGATGCAGAGAACCTGAACAAGGTCGAGAAGATCCGAGGTTTCGTCTGGAGTGGGATCCAAGATGGTAGCGATGTCTTGTCGGCTGCGCAGGAGCCCTCGTATGACCGACCTGGCACTGGCGAGGGTAATGTGCTCGATATCCACGTCGGTGCCTCTGGACGGCAGGAGGACCTTCAGGTTTACGGCCCAGCGGACGTCCTGGAGATCGGCCGACAAAGACATGACATCTCCATTGTCGAAAGTCGCCAGTATATCGTGCGTCGCATCATTGGTTGAGCCGCCAGGTGCGACAGGGAGCGAGTCGAGTGACGAGACGCGCGCAACATCGGAGGGCGTATACGAGGTCTTGCTGGTCTCGGTGTGGTCGCCAGAAGACTTGTCGTGGAAGCACACGAGTGAGGGCTTCTCGGCTGGTGACGACGCGGCTAAGGAAACGTAGGTAAAGCGTTGTGTCGAAGTCTTCGAGGAGCCCTTGCGATAGATCGAGTATGGGGCGGCCGCGAAGGTTGCGCTCGGCGGTAGCGCATAGGAAGTGACGAGTTGAGGATTTTGGAGCTGAAAAGTTTTGAGCGCATATCTCATGTCGCGATATAAAAGTACCTACGCTGTATATGGATACACCCTCTCCATCGACACCGACTGCGATTTCGGTGCGCTTCCTCTTCTTTATGCCGCTAATGCTGCATACTCCAGCAGCGTGAACATGGCCGTTGGTGGAGCCGATGGGCCTGGACAGCGAGGCCAATGTAAATGGAGCGCCAATCGGTTGGTCGAACGACATGATGTTTGCCAGACCCGGGTGTCGATTAAGCTGAAGTCTGCGTGAACCGTAGGGTGAGGCGCGTGCTGTGGTTGCGCGGTCGAGTCTCTGTCGAAAAAAAGATTGGAGCTCCGGCAGAAAGGCAGGCGGTGCGAAATCTTGGCGGAGGCTAAAGTGTGGCTCTTAGTGGCGCCCTTAGCGCGTCGGCGCGTCACGTCGCGTGTCCCCGGAAGTGTCTTCGATCATCGTTGACGGCGACGACGACCACACGCCTTCACCCTGCACCTCCGGCTATTGCAATCACCTGCCACGCCCTGTCACTACTATATTTGGCTCTCACCCATGTCTGGACTACTCGCATAATCTTACAATCTGTAAATGGCCCTCGCAGCAGTACAACCTGCAATGAATCTAGAGGGCAAGAACGTGCATCCATTCTTTACCAAAGCTACCAGTATGCCACCATACTACTCGCAAATCCCGCGCTTACCTAATTCCTAGACGGCCACGTACCAGATCCATCGCCAACCGCAATCGCAAACGCAACTCCCATCGATCACGCACTCGACGATCCAGAGACCACCGAGGCCGATGCCAATTCCACCCAAGGACAGAAGAAGAGGACGCGAAAGGCCGACCCAAAGAGCAAAAAGGTAGCTTCTCACGCGAAGAACCAAGCCTCTCTAGACCAATTCACTCGCCCTCCGACGATACAAAACAATGATCGAGCCAGCTCGGGCAACGCGAACATACCCGTAGAGGCTTCACTAGAGGTCGACCCAAACCACGAGCGGAGGAAGAGGCAGAAGACCGCGTCTCCAGAGCCTTCCATTCCACCAACTTCGGCGCAATCCGAGCCCAATGCATTCAATTGGCACCAGCAACTGCAGGTGGAGGCTGCGCGGCCGATTGAGATGCAAGGGTTACCAGAAACAGCGTTTCAGACAGGTGATATGGTGGTAGATGCAATACAAGAACAAGCTGTCGCGCCTGGCACACAGCCTCTGCCAGACTTGGATACAGCCGCCTTTCCATCCGGTCCTGTCGCAGACGAACCTCAGAAAACAACCCCGAAGAAGCAGATAAGAGTTACCAAGAGCGGCAGACTAGTCTCCAGCCCACCAAAACCAGCGTTCGATACCGTAGCCTCACCGAAGAAAAGAAGAGGTCGCCCGCGCGCAAAACCAAAGATACTTCCCACCGTGACAGTCATACGATACGGAACCGATGCAGCAAGCCGATCTGCTCTGGGCCAGAAGATTGAGGAAATTCTGAACGCAAAGAAGAAGCTGGCAACGCGTCCCGCGGCTCAAAAGAAGGCGACATCGAAACCAGCTGGGCCGGCCAAGAGCACACATCCCTTCTTTCTCGGCAAAGCCCCGAATGACGCTCTCCCAGCAAAAGTCGTCGCACAATTGCCACCTCCAACCCCAAGGAAGAGCGCTGTGACTCCGGGAAAGCTGCGCGCCGAGACTCGACGAGATCCATCGCCTGAGGGCCCACCGGTTTTCAGGCGAGGATTGCAGACAAGTAATGCGGGAAAACAATCTGGTCTTAACGAAGTCTGCTGGCCCACTTGTGAGAACGCGCATGTCCGCAACCTGGAATACCCATCGCCGTGTCTGGACAATGCCACATGCATGCAATTGCCACTCAGACCTCGCAAGCTGAAGCAAGCTGTGGTGATACTACCGGAACACGAGAACGTGGTCGCGAGGCTGGCGCGAGGCCTTCAGGGTTGCAGTAGGAGCGAGAGTCGATCAGTTTCCGAGTTTGAGCCTCCTGAAGATGTTCGTCTGCCCAAAAGGCTACTCACTACTGGGTCGGAGATCCAGCGCCTGGTACGTGAACAACTGCTGGCTCAGTTACCTTCTTCAGAGCTTCCAGAGAAGCCGTCTCACCCCGCTGTCAAAGATCTGTTCCGAGAAATCGAGCATTGTCTCACGCCATTTGACGAAGCCAAATGCGAGTCCCAACCTTGGACTCTAAAGTACTGCCCGAAGAGTACATCGCACGTTCTGCAAACTGGCATTGACGCAGTGGTTCTCAAAGACTGGTTACAGAGTCTGACCGTCATGGCTGTAAGCGGCGCAGCCAAAGTCGCTACAACGCTGGATGTCAAGCAGCCGCCGCGGAAGAAGCGGAAGAAAGCTCTAGACGATTTTATTGTAGCGGACGATGAAGAGGATGAGGAGGACATGGTCATGCTTCCAGCTGCGGAAGGGACCAGCTTCACACACCCGAGATCTTACAGACAACCGCAGTGGACGCGTAACAAGAACGTCGTACTTATCAGCGGTCCTCACGGCTGCGGGAAAAGCGCGACTGTGCATGCCGTCGCAAAGGAAATGGGCTTCGAAGTATTCGAGATTCACGCCGGTATGCGCCGTTCAGGGAAGGACATACAAGATAAGGTCGGTGATATGACCGGGAATCACCTCGTAAATCACAAACGCAACGCACCGTCCGTGCAAGAGACTGCTCAAGCGGCCGACGACGCGAATGATGCCGACAGAGACACTGCTCTAGAAGAGGACATCAATAGTGGCCGACAAGGGACAATGACCTCCTTTTTCCAAGTCAAGACCGGAGCCGGAGCGGTCAAATCGAAAGTCAAAGCAAATGAACCAGAAGTCAGCAAAGGCCCTGCACTCGTAGCTCAAGCTACACTACCCATGGCACAAGCCTCGCGTAACTCGCAGAAGCAATCGCTGATCCTCATCGAAGAGGCTGATATACTCTTCGAGGAAGATCAGCAGTTCTGGGCGCAGATCACAAAGATTGCATCTTTGTCCAAGCGTCCCATCGTCATCACTTGCAACGATGAGCGACAGATACCCATGCAAGACTTGCCCCTTGCAGCTGTCCTTCGGCTATCACCCCCTCCCGTGGACCTGGCTACAGATTACTTGCTTGTTCTTGCTGGCAGGGAAGGTCACATCTTGGAGCGGCAGACTGTAACAGAAATGTATGAATCGAAGGACCACGACCTACGAGCTAGTATCATGGAACTTGACTTCTGGTGCCAGATGTCTGTAGGCGATAGGAAGGGAGGCCTCGAGTGGATGTACCAGCGTTGGCCACCTGGTAAAGACTTGGACGAACACGGTCAAACCTTGAGAGTTGCCAGTGAAGGCACATATACATCTGGCATGGGTTGGCTATCACACAACCTCTTCGAAACGCAGGGCAATCCGGCGTTTGATAATGAAGAGGAGCTTTTGCAGGAAGTCTGGGCTGATTGGGGTATCAGTCCGTCAGCATGGGGAGCCTCTGAAGCAACCGGTGCACAGTCATCCGAAACACCCAATACGGATCGGACTGATCAACTGAAAGAGCTCGCGCGTCTGGAGGATTACACCGACTCACTCAGTGCTGCCGACGTGTTCTGTCGCGTCGACCTACCCACATATGAGTCCAGCTCTCACCAGCCTACCGACTCCACCCAGCCACTGATTACCGACAAAGCACGCCTTAGCTATACGCTTGCCGCACCTCTACTCCAAGTCGATCATAGCTCAGACTTCTTGAGTCTCGACACCGCCTTCTCCACACAAACGCATCTGCTCATCCAGCGTACATACCCGGACCTCTCCCAAAGCCATAGCCTATCAACAACCTCCCATCTGCGCACAGAAACCGACTACGCAAAAGCCATACTCCAGCATCGCAGAAACCAAAACGCAGACACCACCCTCACACGTCTTGACTTTGCAGGAGCCCTCGACCCTCTCGCCGCGCCACCAGACCAACTCCTCCCCGAGCGCACTTCATTCACTCTCACACCATCCTCATTCGACCGCACATTCAGCATCATCACGCTCGACCTAGCACCCTACGTCCGCAGCATTGTAGCCCACGAGCAGATCCTCGAAGAACAACGTGTCCGCATGTCAAGCTTACTGATTAGTACTGGCGGAATAGGAGGCAAAAGAGGTCGGACCACGCGAGCAAGTCGTGTGGCACTCGAAGGAGGTGTTAGGGAAACAAAGAGGAAGGATAGGTGGTTCGATGCTGATGTAGATTTCGACGCTGTCATGCGCACCGCGGGTAGGGAGTGGGCAGGCTTGGGTTGGAGAGGCGAGAATTGGACTGAAGAGAGTGGGGAGGAGGGTACGGCGAGTCTGGCGGGGACGCAGGAGGGAGTTGATGATGGGGATGGGGATGTTGTGATGCAGGGTTCTCAGGCGTGAGATCAAGATCTGGTTGATGTATAATGTATATAGATGCATGATGTATAGGAGCGTTTGGCATTGCATTTTTGGGAGCGAAGTACGGGATATTAGCATAGATGAGTACATAGAAAGCCCGACTAAGAATATGACTACCTCACAATACGTTTGAAGAAGACTAAAAGTACTGTGTTTGAAGAATTGATAGCATAGCAGTCAAGAATAGCAATGACCTCAGAAAACTAGCTATACGATACCCACACGGAAAAGATGAGTCAAAAACGCCAACCTGACCCTGTCGGGCAAACAGGTAACCTCAACGCCAAGTCCCATGTAAAACATTCAACACCCTCATTTTCATCCACGCGCCAGCACTATCCTCAACTCTCCACTATCCTCCCTGGTCTACAAAACACCACACCACGCACCCTCCAGCTTAATCCGTTTCGCGCCGCTGCCAAACTACGTAGCCGACACCAACGGCAAACTCTGCCTCCCGCTATCCCCTCTACTCGACGCATTCCCTGCCGTGCGCATAAGATGCGGACTAGCCTTTGGCACAAGAGGCGTAGATTTCGGCGGCGTCGAAACATCAGTTTCAGACTCGTAATCCGAGGTGAGTTGGGTGGAAGGCGCGTCTTCGGATTCTGCGTCGCTGGCTTCGGTTTCGGGGTCGTGGTGGATGATCGGGTGGGTGGGTTCAGTGGGGGTGCTGGTTGTGAGGGAGAGGGAGGCGGGCTCTGAGGCTGGTCGTGTTGGTGTGGGGAGGGTGTCGAGGAGATCGTCGTCGTTGTCTTCGGGTAGGGCGACCTTGATGGCTTCATCGTCCAAAACTGTAGATGCGTCGAT